CTGCTCTATTCGCAAGCGCCTGGGATCGAACCCAGGACCTCTTGTTTAAAGGATCCAAGCCCCTTCCACTTGGACCAACTCCTGTTGGTATTTTGGAGGAATTCAATTCTTGGGTGAGAGGTGGTATTCTAATTCCTAGAAAACTAACCTATTAGGAATTCATCTTTTTTACCCATTATATCCTCACACAATTTTAAAAATTCCAAATTTATCATTTACTTTAACCCAACAACGAGGACATATTAGTAATTAGAACCACTCCTACCTCAATTCCATATGGTTTAGTAAACAACTTCAATAGAAATCCGGAATCTAACTCCCCTCAATCCATATGGTTTAGTAAACAATTTGAATAGGAATCCGGAATCTAATTTTCCTCAATCCAACTCCGCCTCAATTCAATTCCTCCTAATCCAATTATGAATTAGTAAACATGTCATCAAGGAGTAACGAATAAAGAACAGTGAAGAGTCTTTGGCAAAAAATAAAAAACAGATTAGTGAAAAGTTATGGTTCAAGAACCCGAACTCACAAACTTGCACATCTCTCTCAACCAAGCGCCACAATCCTAAACATTGTGTTCTTGAAGGGAAAAATTCTTTTGTCAAATAATTTGACATGTTATATTGGGAGATTAGAGTCTCAATTGATAGTTTAGTAACATAATGTCATTCATTTGGAAAAAGACTACTACACTATATAGATTTATGTGGTCTTGGAAAAATATATATATAGATTTATGTAGTCATCTAATGCGGATGTTCTTATTTTTTTTCAATTTCCGGACTTGTGTTTTTATTATTATTTTTTGCATTATTTGTGCTGCTAAATCAACTAAAAAAATAAACACTTTTCTTGTGACTAACATCACCACTAGTTTGTCAAGGCGGTGAACTCGTCCCCTCCAAGTTTGAATTTTCTTTTTTCGTAAATTAAATTAATTTAGACTGTAGCTAGTAATAAAAAACATCACCACCAAACAGGCTTTTCCTTCATTGGTGGGCTATATGGAGAACTTGGAGGCTGTTTTATGTGCTTCAACTTCAAGGCCATTTTTTTATGAAAGGAATATTGAGAAGAAGATAAATACACAAAACCCAATGGAAATGGCTTCGTTTCATTTGAAATATACCAGACTTCCACGTTGGAGAAAAATTTATATATACATATGTATACACTTACATAATTTTACATGTAGGTGCTTTGGAGTTCCCCTATTCAATTTCAGTCGCACAATGATGTATGTATCCTGCAAGAGTGAGAAGCAAGGTTGGCCATGGAGTGCTGCCACCGCACAGGGTCCCCAATTTTCGGCCCCCCAAATTCTTTTCATGCGTATTTTCTAATATATATAAGCACACAATATAACTAAACAATTTTGCGTCCAGGGAAGTGATTTATCGCGCTCCTAATTTCTCCATAAATGGCCCCAAGAATATCAAACTCATGACCAGTCAAACAAAATTACCACACCAAACCACTAGACTAGGCATGTCTTCGTGGAAGATAGTTGTGCTCATTTCATGTTAGATCATGTGATGGCCGTAGTTTAAGTTTCGAACATGACCTTTAAAATCTCAGGGTTGGCCGTGGTGAGAACAAGAACCGAACCAAGATCTTTGATATGACAGACCCCAAAAACTTTGCATTAAACATGAACCAATAATGAACAATTTCTATAGTACATTTGTAATCTTGGCATGTCATTGAGCTCATCCCAATGGATTACATTAAAACAGCTATGGAACGACTCGCCAAATCCAATGTCAGGTATTGGTTTGTGATCGATGTCGAAAAGTCCTCGAGTACTAGTTGGCTATGAGGCCTTGGCTGCTAGCTAGGGCTAGCTTGACATGCTTTGCTTTGAGAGGCTCTCTTAAACAAATAAACAAGCAATGTTTAGTTACTGTTTATGATAGAAGTTTAGAGGGGGAGGCAGCATAAGAAAGTTTGTTGCCCTGGACCACTATGGTTGTAGCTGCTGTCTAGTTAAATTCATCTCCACCTTTTCGGTTGACGTCAATGCTCAATAGCATCTTATCAACTTTCACCTACTATTTTTCCAATTATATTTCTTGTCTCTACTGTTTTGGATTCTTACTCTAGACTATTGATTATTAGGTTAACTTTAACATCACATGCTAGACTTTCGAAAGAACATTATTACCCTATATATTTTTGTAAGTTTGTAAATATAAATTTTTTGTTTCTTTATATCTTTGTTGTTTGTTTCTGTTTGACGGGAACCCTTAAGAATGTGAAGGTTGTAATATTGTTATAATTTTAATATAATAGTGCACATTCAGTATGGTTTTTACTTCTATAAACAGCACTCGTTTGTAACCACCATTTCTGGTACGATTACAGTCACCTGGACTAGTTGCTTCCATGTATTATCATTTTAAAACAGAGGAATCTACGTGAGGAGAAGTGTTGAAGAATAGTCTCACATTGTGGTTTGGCTCCGTGTGAGTATACTTGTCATGTCATTCTATATATATCTATTTCAACCACTCCAACCTATATGCAATGTTTTCTTGAGTCTTCTTCAGAAAAGAATGGCATACTACTCTTCTTTTCAGTTGCTAGGTTTCTTCTGCTTGATGATCAGCTTTCTTCAGCTCATTCTACTCCAAGCCTTGGCTTGGGGACCTGATGTTCCTACACAAGGCTTTGTTTCCCTCCCTTTTAACCGATCATTCTACCATATTCAGAAGCCTTATGATGTCCCCGAAGACCAGCGCTACAGCTTCGTCAATGGAATTCATAAATGTTGGGTCTACTCCACAGACAAACCTCACACTACTACCAGCCAAACCATGCCTCGTACTGAGATTGCCATACAAGTAATGTTCTCTTAACAAACTAATGTTACAATTGTTTATCAAACTGTAAATTTAGACCGCACATTACATTCTGTCAAAATTCAACATGATCAATGGTCCAGATTCACAGATCATTAACTCTTTGTATCTATTGCAGGGATACAATTACTCTTCCGGGGTGTGGGAATTTGAAGCATATGGGTATGTACCATATGGGACATCAAGTGTGTGCATAATGCAAGTGTTTGGAGCAAGTGCTCCTCATGCCACAACTCTAATGCTTAGGGTTTACAATGGTTCACTCATGTACTACACTGGTCCAGTGTTGGTACCAAACATCTATGACAAATGGTTCAAGTTGAATGTGATTCACGATGTTGAAGCTGCAAAAGTGAAGGTTTACATTGATGGATGTCTCAAATTAGAGGCAGATGGTCGTGGAGGCACATCTCATGCATTCAAATGTGGTGTATACGCCCAGCATAATGACTCCTTTTACATGGAGTCTCGTTGGAAACACATCCAAGTTTTAAGAAAGTGAAGACCTTGAACCATCAAGTAGCACAGCAATGTAAAATATGGTATGGATATGCATATAACTTCTTTGCTTCGACCCAAAAAAAAATAAAGCTTCTTTTCTTTTCATGTCTCGTGAATAAATATGTAAACGAATAAATAAAAGGAAAAAGAAACCTCAAAATAATAAGGGTCAATGTCGGCCAGAGACGACAGGGATAAGTTTCATTGTCGACATGGAAACAATTCGAATCACCAGCTAAGCGATGTACAAGCCAATATGAGTTTTAGGTCAGGGACCCAACGACCATCGTCGGTATCTAAAGTGTATGGTCTTGAGTCCTGGGTGGGCGTCGAGTTTGATGGCCTTGAGTCTAAATGACCTCGATTGTTGAGGTGTTACGGTTATCTATTGTTTTTAAAGTGATGGAGTTAGATTGTGCATTAATGTTGTATTCTAGAAATAATCAATTATTCTCTTTGTTTTTTCTTTTGATACAAGTGATATTGGGAAATCGAACCTAGGACTTTGAATGTAGAGGTAAATGCTCTTAATCATTTGAGCTACATCTAAACCCCTTGCAATTATTCTCTAATCCTTAATAACTTTTGAAAATATTCAAAAACACATAACATATTTGTTTGAAAGAACAAGTCCCTGACTAAATATCAGCACATTCACGGAACATAAATCACGTTTTAGTCCTCATGTCACAAATTCATATTTTTTGAAATTAGGATGCACACTATCCCATGCATATACCTAATTTCACACTAGTCCGATGTTGGGCCCATTTGCACAAGAGAATCAAGCCAAAATCATTCATATATACATGTGTATTTTTTTTTTAAACAAGTGATAGTATAAATTACAAGGGGAGAGGGTCATCTCACACACACTATTATAAGGTGCTATGGATAATGGGGGTTTGAACTTGAGACCAGTGTGGTCTGCAAGTAAAGACCATTTTCCACTAGACTAGACATCATTGACAACAAGTGTAGTTAAACATGGGTATTTGAATTATTCACATTTATGACTTATCATGCATTTACTAACACATAACGAAACCAAAAGATATATCAATTGTACATGATCCAATACTTGAAAAATCATGAATTAGATGGATAGAGGGGTATTCTTTTTCAATTTTAGTAATTGTCTCTTTAAATCTTCTTGTTATTTTTTTTGTAAATAATTTTCTCATATCTTATCTTTGATGTTATAATTGCACAATCAATTGATTAAAAAAATAGGAGATTCACTATTATACCCAATATAGGAGCCCAAATTATAAAAATACCATATATGAAATGGACTTTAGAAACATACCCAAAGCCCATTTACAACATAACAAAAAGGCTTTTTAACTTGTTTTAAATTACAAAACTGCCATTGATTTCTTAAAACAAACCCAAAACACTCAATAGGACATTAAAGTAATTTAATAATCAAAATTAAATTCAATAGGGCCAGTTATCATTTTTTAAGTTTTTTTGGGTTTTGTTTATAGGAATTAAATGGTGTAGGATTTATTTATAATATTAGTGCTAAGAATGACTAAATATCTCTTAAAAAATTTGATGTTATCAATTGATAATATATCACGAAATTAGAAGCCCGTGAACTTTGACGATTTTTTTAAAAAGCTAGTGTTAAAGAAATTTTAAAGAAATAATCAAATAATGGTTAGGCAAACCACTCATATATAGCTGATTTTGTCTTCTACCCTTCGTTTCCTTTGATACCCGTGAACTTGACTACTCTTCTACCCTTCAATGCTCAAAAAAATATAGATAGGATAAAAATAAAGAAAGTCCTTCTCACTACTCCGAACTCAAGACTTGGGACTCGAATTCAGGATACTGGCGACAATAAAGGATAATTCTCTTCTCCAATTCAATATAAATTCAACATAGTCAAATCCTATATTCTAATTTGATTCAATCACAATCGCCAAACATAATTAAAAACCAACAAACCCACGTACTAGTGTTTACAACTTCAATAATGTTTACATTTTTCTTTAGTTTTGCTTCACATTTTATAATTCTTTTTCGATACATCGTACATGAGATATTGAGAGAGAGGGTTATGAGGCACATTGTGGTCATCAGGAGGAGGAAAGCCGCATTTTTGAAAGCCATGGTATTCTCTGTTACTGTTTGTAATATTTGTATGTGAATATTCAGAGCTTGAGTGAAGAACATGGGAGGGTGTGGGAGTAATTTATAGTGGTGATTTGAGTCCGGTGAGGAAGAGGAAGATGAGAGGGCTGCTAATAATTATTCATTAAGCTGTTAATTACTTTCATGATCATGGGGTTTGATCATAATTAATTATATATATTGGTGTCTAATATAATTCCAAACGCTAGACTTAAATTAAATGGGTAATCCCTTAGCTGATGCCTGATGGAAGCGTTACTGGCTAGGGTTCATACTGTCTTAAGTTTTTCATTTAGACTTAATTGTAGCAATGGAACAAGTTATAGTCGTCCATAATATATATTGGTGTCTAATATTATTCCAAACGCTTGACTTCAATTTCATGGGTAAACATAAAGAAAGAAGCTAATTCCTTGGCCAATGGGAAGCTCAGTTCAATTAGCTGGGTTTCCTACCCCGTCTTAGTATTAATTCAATTTTATTATTTATGGCACACTTGTGCACATGGCTTTTTTGTTTGTTTTTATTTTAGTTTTTCGGTTTTCTACCAAATGGTCATACCCGGGTTTTATTTTGATCATCCAACTAATTTTTTTAGTTTCATTCATCCTCCAACTTTCTCAAACGTGTCAAATTGGTCATTCTGATAAATTCTGCCAATTTGACTGTCAATTTGAGGAATAAAATCATCAATTTGATTGTCTATTTAAGGGGTAAATTAGATAATCTTGACGTAAAGGATAAACGCTGCAATGCAAGACCTAATCGGAGGATGATCGTACCTATTTTTGAAGTTGAAGGACAAAAATACAACTCAGGAGTATATTTCAGAAACCATAGCTACAAATTACAATTTAACCAATATATAACGTATTGAATATTTTTAGTCTTCTTTCAACCTTTAGAAATTCAAAATACTCGAGCCCTCTTAAACAATGTTTGGACTATTTTCCATAATTTCGTCGGCCCAAGCCATTCTTTGTTTTGGGTCCACAGCCCAAACTCTCCCTCCCCGCTGGCAATAACCAGAAAATTCCCAAATAGCAGTTTTTGGCGCCCTAAAGATTGAAGAAGAGCAGTGAAGAGATGAGCGTGGCGGATCTGCCAAAGACAGAGGCGAACGTGCTGAGAGGCCACGAGGGGGCAGTATTAGCAGCGAGGTTCAATAGTGACGGCAATTACTGCCTCAGCGCCGGGAAAGACCGCACCATCAGACTCTGGAACCCACACCGCGGCATCCACATCAAGACCTACAAGGCCCATGGCCGCGAAGTACGTGACGTTCATGTCACCTCGTAAGTCTTCATCTTTTTCTTATTCTTTCTAATCTTTGAGCTGAACCCAGTTGATCAATTCAATGAATATATATATGTATAATGTGGAATGTGGGTGGCCTTTGGATACGTTGTTCTTGTAGGGACAACTCGAAATTGTGTTCATCAGTATTCATGTTTTCCTCTTCTCTCTAATCTTTCAGCTGAACCCAGTTAACCAATTCAATGTATATATATGTATAATGTGGGTGGCCTTTGTATAATTTGTTCTTTTAGGGACAACTCGAAATTGTGTTCTTGCGGTGGTGACAGACAAATCTTTTATTGGGATGTGGCGACGGGGAAAGTCATTCGAAAGTTTCGAGGCCATGAAGGGGAGGTGAATGGTGTGAAGTTCAATGAGTATTCATCTGTTGTGGTCTCGGCAGGTTTTGATCAGTCCTTGCGTGCTTGGGACTGCAGGTCTCACAGCAATGAACCCATTCAGGTTAGCCTTGCTATTGCTTTTTCCCTTTTCTTCTTTTTGTTAGATTTCTTTAATTGTTTGTATTTTTCTTGTTTTTTCATAGCTGTGGTTAACCTGCAGATAATTGATACGTTTACAGACAGTGTAATGTCTGTTTGTTTAACAAAGACCGAAATTATTGGTGGAAGTGTTGATGGAACTGTGAGAACTTTCGATATGCGTATGGGGAGGTATGTTGCTTTGTTCTGTATTTTTATCTCTTTACATAGTTATGTGTCACAAATATCCTTGTATGCTAAACTTAGACACTCAAAACTTTGATTCAATGATTTTCCTGAGCTTTTGATGATGGATGTTTAATGTTGTATTACATAGAGAAGTATCCGATGACTTGGGACAACCTGTAAACTGCATCTCAATGTCAAATGACGGTAACTGCATACTAGCAAGTTGCTTAGATTCGACTTTACGTCTCATTGACAGGTAAATACATTTAAAATCACTTATTGTAGTAGTCATGTATCTGGTTTAAGTTGCACTCCCTTTCACTAATTTTTTCTTGTGATAGGTCTTCTGGTGAATTACTTCAACAGTACAAAGGTCATACATGTAAGGTCAGTACGCTGATGTGTTATTATGGATTACGGAACTCTGTCATAGTTCCTTTGCTATATTGTAATTCAGATATGCCTTGTTATGTCGATGTTTTTTTGGCTGGAAATTGATTTGTTGGTTATTCAAACATTTTATATGACTTTGCATTTATTTTAATGTGCACTTTTATGGTTCTTTTTTTTTTACCTCATATGTAGTTACCTTGAAGTATTTGGCACAGGCTTGCACTATTTGACTCTCGTTGTTCATGAGTTCTTATCATTTCCATTGCTTGTTTCTGTATCAGTCTTACAAATTGGACTGCTGTATTACCAACACTGATGCCCATGTAACCGGTGGGTCTGAGGATGGCTTTATTTTCTTCTGGGATCTGGTAGATGCATCTGTGGCAACAAAGTTCAGAGCTCATTCATCGGTGGTAAAGCCTAGTTTCCTCCGCTCACTGTTGTTTTTCTATCAAAATTGTGTCAATTGCTCACAATGTCCCTACTACTTACATTGTGTTTCTTGTGTATGAAAAAAGAAAATGTTCCTGTGACTTATACAGACTAATACAGTTCAAAAGGGTTGTTACTTCCATAATTTGGATAATCTTGTCAATAAATTTAAGAATAAGTGCTGCTCTTTCATTATAGCATTTTAGTTCTGATGCTTTTTCTGCTTTTCTAAGGCTTCTTTCTCATTTATGCTTTATTTTAATTCTTCTCTCTTTCTTTGTGTTCATTTTGGATAGGCTTTTAATTTTCAGTATATTGCCAATTGAGTCATAGTTATACCTAAACCTCTTCGTATTTTCCTTGTATTGTTTTGCTCTTTGTTGGTGTTAGTTTTGTATAAGCCTTTTCTTTCATTATATTGCCAACTGATACATACTTACATTTATAATTTTTTGTATTTTCCTTTAAGGTTTTGCTCTTTCATTGTGTTAGTTTTGTATAAGCTTTTTTCTTTCATTATATACATACTTGCATGTAGACTTTTTCATTCTGATGCATTGTCATAAGGATGGAGGTTAGTGCTCTCTCTTGCAAAACTCCCTTCCCCTGAATTTAACCAAATGCCTTTAGAACTTGGAGAGGTGTCACTTGAATAAAGTGGCTGTGTGGAGATCGTAAATTAGACGGACTTCCAACATGCGACTGGAAATAGTATCATGGGCAATAGTGCTCTGGGGACAACACCCAACTATTTCTATCAATGGCTGGGGATAATATGATTTTAATTCTCATCTATTTGTTTTTAATGTAAAATGGTAAAGAAGTTGGAAAATCACTTAAACTTGGTTTATGAACATGGAGAAACAGAAACTGAAGAGACCCATTGTGAAGTATACAAAGTTCACATCTGTCTTGGAATTTTTTCATGGCTTTCTTTTTGGTTGTGGATTGGAAATTGACCAATTTCATTGAGGTATTCTGTCACAACATTTATCATGATTGTAAGGGGATAGCGTAGTTTAGGTCATGATTGCTGCATCTTGGTCCGTTCTTTGCTTCTAGCACTAGGACTAGTGTAAACCATCAAAAGAGGTGAGATCCATTACCATATAAAATGTGCTTTTGGATTTCTTATAAGTGGCTCAGGATCTGTTTTGGGTCAAGCAACATTATTGAAATATGCATGTTGAAGCTGAGGTCATCCGTTTGCCCGAGGACAATAACACTAGACATATTCTAGTTTATGAAGATTTGTAGTGTTTTCCATATAATGACTGGTTTGTGAACAAAAAAGCTTGTCGAAAGTTGCTTGGAAATCCTAAATGCTTGTGGGATTTGTCTGTCTTTTTGGTTTTCCTTCTCCTGTTGGTAAATAACAGCTTTTTGGATTTGGTTTGACAGGTAACAAGTGTGAGTTATCACCCAAAGGACAACTGCATGATAAGTTCCTCTGTTGATGGCACCATTAAGGTGTGGAAATCTTGAGAACTTTTCACAAGCAATGAAGTAAATCAACCTATGCTATGCTGCAAATGCTGCAATTTGTACCTTCTCTGCTGAAAACTGAAATGCTGCCTTGTAATTATAGAATTGTTAGCTTTGCTTGTTCCAATGCTCTTCACTTTCAGAGTTTTGTATCTGATTTTGCACAACATTTTACTGTATTGAATTTGGGGCACACTCTAATTGATTTATGAAAAGTTAACAATGTTTTGTATTGAATTTGGGCACACTCGCTCCAGCTAGATCAATATTCACAACAAAGATCCAACCTTTTATTTGAAGAACATGATATACAAAATGAACAAAACATAAACAAAGATCATCACACTTGTACAATTAATGGTGAGAATTTCAAATTTCAAATGTCAATCTTCAACTGGTAGGTGGTGATGTAAACTGGTAGGAGGCATAAGAAAGAGCACCAAGATCCCAGCTCCCATGAATGAGCTTAGCCTTGGCAGCTGAGCCAGCAGCTCCAATGGCCACATGCAATGGGTAAAAGTGATCAGGCCATGGGTGAGCCATTTTCGCATAAGGAGCCTTCTCCTCATACTGGTTCACATCTTCGTACCTCCCTTCAAGCAGAGCATCCTTAAGCCACGTGTCGAACTCCAGAGCCCACGGAACAATGGATCCACCACCACCACCACCACCCCTTATCTCCCTCAGCGCCCTCAAGTTGTGAGTGGCACTGCCAGACCCCACCACAAGTACGCCCTCGTCCTTGAGTGGGGCCAGTGCCCTCCCCATGTTGTAGTGATAAGTGGC